GTTTGTTTTTAAAAAAATATACTTATAAAGAAAATGTGCTTATATAGGAGGTGACTATAGAGAGGTTAGACTGTATATGAATTTGAGTACTTATTGAAAGTAAAAGAATAATTGTAAATATTGTGAGATTTTTTATAATTTATAGTTTTAGAGAATATATACAAGTTTAGAAGTATATTTTTGAAGATTATAATATATTATAAATTTTTTATATTTTAAAATAATTAGTTTTGTAACTTGATATAGTAATTATAAATTTAATATCTATATGAAATTATGAATATGAGGTGGGTTTGTTTTGCTAATATTTTCTAATTTTTAATATTCTAGTACTATATCTTTATTTGCAACAAACACAAATTTGTTAAAGCAAGATATTTTAATATTGTCTTAAGTAAAGCATCTGCTAAGAGCAATATAAGCTTAGCTAGAAAAAAAAATATTTTTATCTAATACTAGAGTTACTTTTAGTAAGATTAAGCTTTGTGTTTTATGAACTATAAGTACAGAGTAGTTTTGTATAGAGAATTGAATATAGTAACAATTATTTCTATATAGTTAGAAGTGATGAGCATGTTTAAAAATATTGATATATATTATAGATTCTTTAATAAAAAATACAATTTGAATAAATTGATTTTTTGAGTTTATATCTGTAATTATATCTATACAAATACTATGAACAATTAATAAATTATTAAAATATATAACATGAGTACCTGGTTAGAGACAAACAGATAGAGGTAAGATTGTTTTTAATTTAAACATATATTAGTATATATTATATTTCAGAATATAAAGAGTATAGAAAATATAGATCTATAGTGTCAATTTGCTTATGATATTAAAAATTTATTTGAATAAATAGAAAGTAAGTTACAAATCATTCTATTTATCTATTAGGCATTTTTCTTGAAGCTTACAATATAAGGGAGCTTCTAGAAATTATATAATTAAAAAGTAAGTGAATAGGTTAGCCGAAGTATCAGGTTATAATTCTGGTCAAAATGTATAATTTTAGCCAAAATTATAAAATTTTTTTTTAAAATTTAAAAATAAAATATAACAATAAATAACTTTTGATCTACTAAATCAAATTAGATAATTTAACTACCAAATGATCCTCTAAATAAGAGCTTTCTAACAAGTCCAAAATCATTAAAATCTAATTACTAGATTTTAAGATTAGAATAGAATTATACTTCAATATATAACTAATAAATTATAATTTTAAGCACTAAGTAAACTTATTTAACATACAAATATATACCAGAATAATATATTTTTAAGTGTTAAACAAGTTTATATAGAGCCTAAAGTTATAATTTATTAATAAAATTTTGTATTATACAAAATTTTCTAACTTTTTATTAATAAAAATTTACAAAATTCTGTATTATGCAAAATTTTATTAATAAATTATAACTTTAGGTTTTAAGTAAACTTGTTCAGCACTCAAAAATATATTATTTTGGTATATATTTGTATTTTAAATAAGTTTACTTAATACTTAAAATTATAATTTATTAGTTATATATTATATATATTACAACTTATTATATAATAAAGTATAAATCTATTTTGATCTTCAAACCCAGTAATTAGATTTTGATATAGTAATTTTAGGCTTGTTAGAAAGCTCTCTTTGAAAAAATTATTTTGGTAGTTAAATTATTTAATTTGGTTTAGTAAATCAAAAGTTATTTAAATTTAGCTATTTTATATAAATTATATATATAAATTTGATACAATTTAATTGGCTAGTTAGATATTAGGTATGGGTAGGTGGGTGGATTTAAGAATTTTAATAGTATATACTCATAAATTATATAATTTCTAGAAGCCTTCTAAGTTGTATAAAAAAGTATATTTGTTGCAGAATATAATATAAATTGTAAATAATATTAATATAGTATACTTCAACTTTCAGTAAAAATTTTATCTATTCATACTTCTTCTAGGTAGTTAAAAAATTGAATATTATGATTTTGATATTGAGAGATCTTTAAGAATAGAAAATAAAATAGTAACCAAGTAGTAAAGCAAAATACTAGTTAACTAGAGATAAGTAGAAGTTGGAAAAGATTACTAATAACTATTATATATATTAATTTCACCAAAAACAATAGTATTGTTTTATAGTCTTGCAAATAGGTTTGATATATAATCTAATAGTTTAGCAAAGACTATTAAGATTTTTTTGATAATTAGTATATTAATTTGTTGTACAGATTTTGTTAACCAAATTCGTATAATAACCAATCAAATTTATTAAAATACTAATCAAATTTGTAAAAATATTAATTAAATTTGTATTTCAATTAAATTAATATATTTTGATCAATCTTCAATAACTCTCGAAGTAGTAGTTTAATCTTGATGAATTTGGTACTATTCAAATCCTCTTAATAAGATGATTTGAATAGTATCAAACTCATCAAGATTGGATTACTATATTAAGAGTTATCAAAGATTAATCAAAATATACTAATTTGATTAAAATACAAATTTGATTAATATTTTTACAAATTTGATTGGTATTTCAATGAATTTGATTAGTTATTATATAAATTTTATTGACAAAACCTGTAAATAAGTTTAAGTTTCATGTTTATAAAAGCTTTTTTAAAAGCTTTTATAAACATGAAACTTAAAAATTATCTTAGGTTTTCTCCAACCTATCCTAGCTAGAATTACTTTATTCATTTAAATTAATAATAGTATTAAATAGGAAATAGGAGGTGTAATGTCACATTGGGTGCTCTGTAGCACAAATGTAGTTAGAAATCTTTACCATAGAGGAAAATTTTTTTTTTTTTTTCTTCTTTTCTAAACCATATCCTCTTTTTATTAGCCAGTACTGAGTTGAAGGAATTTGACAGCCTGGTCAGGTGACTTATCTGCCCCCTTACCCAAGTCTTTTTAGTAACAAGAGGACCATTAATCTCTAGATTAATATAGGTTTATTGTAATAAAGTTTCTACTATAACATTATATTAATAATAATAATAATAAAAAAAAAAAAAAAAAAAAAAAAAAAAAAACATTTTAGCAGCCAAATTTGCCTGCTAACTAGTGTTGGTTTAAGGGATAGCCATTCTGATATCATTTAATTTAATAAACTTAGTAAAGATTTATAATATTTATAGTAAAAGTTTGGAAAATTTAAATCTTTAAACATGATTATTTGCAAACTGACCAGAATTATACCGGTTAGGCCTGAATTATAAAAATTACACCGCTTAGCCTAACAAATAGAGATGGGCAAAATACAAAATTTTCATTTTAGCATGCACACGCGCATGCAGTTTTTGCATGCATGCATGCATGTTTTGACCAAAATTACGAGTTAATTTCTTAATGCTGGCCAGAGTTGATTGCATGTTTTGCATACCATGCATGCAATTGCCCATCTCTACTAACAAAACAACGGCTCTTCTCTAGTTGCAACCGTTCCTGGTTTTAAACATATCTGCGTTGCGCAGCTATTTATTTTAGGGAATTTACATATAAAGGCCTGAAAATGAAAATAATCACAAATAAGGGCTCAAAGTGAAAATAATTACGTATAAGGGCCCAAATTTAAACGTATTACTTCTTAATCAATATCGCATTTATTCTCTTCTCTTAGCGCCTTTCATGCAAAAATTATAACCACTTTTGTTAATTTTTAAAAGTAATTTAACTTTCTCTACGAATAAAAATGAGCTTCGGTTTTAATATCTTCGATTAGTGCATAGTAACCTTCACAAAATATCGATTCACTAGTTTGATATAGCGATAGGATAAATACATTAGATTAGAACTGAATAAACATTACAATATCAATATATATCGTATTTAACCTAGTCGAATTGCTTCTTGGTTAAAAGAAAGCTCATTAAGCGAAAGGTAAAATGTCGATCTGCCTGATTTCTATTGACGGCAGCCCATATACACATACAGTTATAAAGTTCGAAGAACCACTATCATCATAACGCAAAGTTATTTTAATTGTAAAGTTTTTCAAATTTTGGGCCCTTATTTTTACTTATTTGTAATTATTTTCATTTTTCGGGCCCTTATATGTAAATTCCCTTTATTTTACTATATACTTTACTAACACCTAACTATAATATAGACGCTAACCCTAACGCTAACATGAACTTTAAAAATTTATCAATGCGCCACAAATAAGCACATAGCTGCATTTTTTTGGATTAATAATAATCCTCCCGTGATCTTGAATAGGATTATAAAAATTAACCAATCACACGAATGCCTCGATTCAATCATTATACTATTTAAAGTTATGTAGTACAGTACAGTTTTTATTTTTAATACATACAAATGTACAACTGTTTTATCAAACCCAATTACTAATCTCGCCCAAAAAATCAACAATTTTTTTATTTCCGTAGATTATAAATTGGTTATCGATATTGCATGTATAGTTTCAAAACTTTTACTGTGAAAAAAAAAATTGCCTCTTACGCCTCATATTAATACTCTTTTTTTTATCATATTTTGAAATATGAACGGTCAAGAACTCTGCATTCTTGGTTGGAGGTACCAGTTCGGCATCGACACTGAAAATGATTTGGAAAAAGCATTCAAATGCTACAAGCAGGCCGCAGATTTGGGAGACGGAGATGGGATGTTTCAGGTGGCAGAGTTCTACCATTTAGGTATTTATGTAGAAATAGATAGAAACAAAGCATTTGAATATTTTTTGAAATCTGCTGAAGCTGGATTCAGGATGGGGATTCATAAAACTCGTTTGTATGATTACAAAACACGTCTCTATCATTTAGATCGTCGCAATAATTTAAATCATAATTCTCAATATGTAACAAAGGTAAAATGCCCAAATTGTCAAAAATACAATACTTATTATAATTGGTGTTTTGATTGCGAACCAGATTTGACTATTCAAAAATGGACAAGTAAAAATAGAAAAATCGATTCTTTTATAAAAAGACTTCAAATTGAAATTGAATATTATAGTGGAATGATTGAGTGGATTCCATTTGATAGATTGAAAAATATAGATATAATCGGTCAGGGAGGATTTAGTACGGTATTTAAAGCAACTTGGATAGATGGGATACGAAAATCTGACAGTTCACGAGTACCAGAAAATATGGTCGCACTCAAAACTCTTAATAACTTACAAGAATTCGAGAATCATGTTAAATGTCATCTCAATTATTCATGCCTTAAAATATATGGGCTAACGCAAGATCCTGAAACTAATAAATGCCTAATGGTGTTTATGTATGCAAACGATGGAAATCTTCATGACTATTTAGGAAAAAATTGGAATAATCTAAAATGGAAAAATAAAATTGAAATCCTTAGATATATTTCAGACGACTTAATAAATATACATAGAACAAATTTGATTCATGCAGATCTTCATAGTGGAAATATTTTACAAAATCATTTATCATCTTTTATTTCAGATTTGGGTCAAACTAGATTGATTGATGAAGAAAAGGGTACGATTTACGGTGTACTTCCGTATGTTGCTCCTGAAATCTTGTGGGGTAAAAAGTTCACACAAGCAGCAGATATTTACGGGTTTGGGATTATAATGTGGGAATTGGCTACAGGACAGAGACCATTTGATGGTTGTGAATTTGATATTGATCTCGCATTGAGAATTTGTAACGGACTACGTCCTGAATTCGATGAATACGTACCAGAATGTTATGTTAAACTAGTTAACCAATGCATGGATTCTGATCCTGAAAAACGGCCTACCGCCGAAGAAATTAAAGTTAAAATTCGTCAATGGAAAAATTCCGTTGAAATCCTGAAAAAATTTGAAGAAGCTGACGAACATATACCTCAGTTTCTCAGACAGCATCCTAATTATATTTTCACCAGCAAACTCATCAACACTCGGGAGATCTCACAAAAAATGTCGGCTGAATTATATTTATAATAGGCCAGAATTATCTTAATGCCTCACTACTTCGGTTTTAGTCACTTGTTTACCCTCCTAATCAAGATCCCGATTAAGAAAATTTTTAGGCGATTTCACTCCCTAGTAGAAATATAGAATTAATGTTGTAAGGGCAAAAAAACGGTCGAGTGGATGAGTCTTATCGTTATGTATAGATTATTGGCGTGTAGTTAATTTTGTGCAAATGTAATTTATAATAGACTTTTGTGTTTGTATACAAAGAACTTTTACAATAATTAAATTAGATTTAATATATTTAAAGCTAAATATTTTAACAAAATTGTATTATTAAATATTTTAAAATGACTATTAAAGATTTTTATAAAGTTTTTTTGAGAGCCCTTATATGTAGGGTTGTAAAATTACGGTGTTTATAAAATTTTCTGGTCATTGTGAAGGGCTCCGGAAATCACGTTTTCTTTTTTTTATTATTATTATTATTACTATTTTTATTATTCTATTTTGTATTCCTCAGTATTACCGTAGCTAAAATTAGAAAAAGCCGAAGTTAGAACACTAACAGAATTATCATACTAAGGTTCAAATTTGAACTTCGATTCAAATTTGTACCCACCTAAGACAGGTACGAATACGTACCGAAAAGTCTAAGCAGATGCGACCTCGTATCTAAAAGTCTGAGCAGATACGAATTTGTATCTGACGCAGATACAAATTCGTATCTACAAAGCCATAATAAATCCTGTAAATAGTGTGGTAGTATAGAAATTAGAGTAGCGTAGTTCTATGTACGCAGTAAAAGCAAAAAGTATTTAAGGACCTATCTTTTTGACGAAATAAAATCAACTCGTATGAGTTCTTAACTTCGAAGCCTTTATAGTAGAAGTTGTTCTCCAAATAATTATTTCTCTTAAAAATAAAATCGCTCATAATAAAAGACCACCTTGTAAAATCTTGTCCCCATGATCCGTCGTAATCGTACTAGTATTTTTCGTAAGAGAAAAGAAAGAGAGTACTGAGTAATAATCGAAAACCCCCTTTTATAAGCAAATCAAATAAACTCTAGAACAGTTTCGTCATTTTATCATTGTTTCCTAATTACGTCAAATAATCGCAATTCAATTTCGCCAAACACGTGACCACGTGACAATCGTTAGGGATCTTAACGATTGTATTCGAAATACCGAAGCCCTATTGTGTTAAAAGTTATAAGAATCTTCTTTTATCACCCTAGGGGCATATAAGACGAAAGCATAACCAAATCTAAAGACGATACTTATACTCCAAATAAGCCGCAGCAAGACCCACTATCCTTGAACCTCGGACCAAGTCTTTCCTCACCTCTTTCGGCCTTCCAACTCAAGGTTTTAGGTGTCTTGAAGAGTGATAGTGGATCGATTAGTTGTTTAGATTAGTGGTTAGATTAGTTTTAGTATTAAAGCTATCAGTCTCACCTTAGTCATATCGGCGGATTTGAAATCAGTTCTAATTCCGGTCAAAATTGTTGATCACTTGACTAGAGATGGGCAAAACGGTATTTTTTTTATATAATGCATGCGCATAGTATGCAGCATGCATGCATGCATGCATGCATATTATAATTAAAATTCAAAATCGACCTCAAAGCATTAATAAAAAATGTTAAGATAATACTTACCCTGATTTATCTAAACTAAACTTCGTTAATTAACTATACGTATAACTGTATCTGGCCGGTATCTATATACTAAATCTTTTATTTTAAACTGGTTAACTGTGTAAAAATTGTACTGTAGTTTTTGGTCCCAAGTTAAAATGGTAATTAATAGTCAGTATAGTATTAATGCTTGCTGATTTAAATGATTATTACCAAGAAAATTTTAGTTAGTTTCAATTTTTAATCATTAATAATGAATTTATTTAATGTTAAGGATTGTGAATTTAGATAACTGATATTTAAATTGCGTATGTTTAATAAAAGGTTCAGTTTTAGTTTAAATTTGTAAAATTGTATATATTAAATTTATTAATTTTATACATAGTAGGTGTAAAGTCTTTATTACACTGCATATCTTTACCAAACAAAACAATATTAATAAATGCTTTATATTTATCCTTTAACAAATTCTTTTTTTTTTTTTTTTTTTTTTATTAATATAATGCCATAGTAGAAACTTTATTACAAAAAACCTAAATTAATCTA